ATAAATAATGCATAAATTTCTCAAATAAAGGCTAAATATTTTTAAAAATCAATTCCAACATGTACATGAAAAAGGCAAAGATGTCAGACGGAATGTGTGATTAAAAAATATTTATAAATTTTGAATTTACATGTAAAATATTTTTATTGTGCGGTTGAAAATAAATATATAGAAAAAATAGTTCAAATAATGATTCTCAATGGGGCTGAATTAATTCGTCCGGTCCAATGTTTAACATTAAGCCGTTGTTTGATTGTGTTTACAATCTAGATTAAATTTAAGTCAAAGTTAATAACTAATTTTAACACATTTTATGGGCTGATAGCTTTTTAATAACACATTCCATCAAATTTTATTAAAATCTACTAAAAATCTGATTTTAATCTCACTAACAAGTACATACGGGTAAGGTGGATTGAAACCATGAGTGAATATGCAACTCAATTCATTGTGTAGTTCGATTTTACCATTTTTTTGTGAAGTTAATATAAAATAAATGTGTAATTAATATGTTGTAAAAATTAAAAATTGTAGGCTAACATGGATTGATGTAGAATGTAGATCGTGTTCAAGTCAATATGTAGTAAAAAATTTTGGAAACTGTGTGATTAAAAAATGGAGAAAATTTTTAAATTTACTTAAAAAATATTTTATTGTGAAAATGTGTGGTTGATTATGAGGAATAAAAGGCAAAAAAAAAAAAAAAAGAGTTGTGAAAGAATAATTACGAAACATAGGCCAAGCTTAAAGCTCCATACCATTATATTTTATTGAATTAAGTTAAAGTGACCGAATTGGTTGACGTAACGGTTGATTGATCCTCACATTTTGTGCATGGATCCTGTGTGAATTAAAAAATGTCGACATCCCCACGTGTGTTCGATCATCTCCTATGTCAACCCCTATGTTAGCATAGCAAACTGACGTTTATAAGTAAGTGACAAAATGTTTACAAGTCAAAGTGAATGAGTGTGCAACCTGCGTTACAACTCATAGAGCTCAATATTTTCTCAAATGGCCAAACTCTCATTAACAACTCCTGCCAGCACAATCCAGGTTAAGTGGCGGTGATCTCCATTTTCGGTCATATTTCTACAGCTACTTATTTATTATTTTTTAAACATAATTTAAATTTAAAATATAGAAAAGTAATAAATCGGAGCGAAGATCATACTTTCCGTTGCTTTTCACTAGTCTCGTCTCAATTGGCAGATTAATTGAAAAATCTTTGCTCCTGAGGAGAGACGGTGCCACGACAATTCACAATCCCTGTTCCACTACCTTGATTGTTATTGCCGACTCGATGACTTTCGAACACAATCTTTGTTGTAATGGATTTGACTCAAATTTCTCAATGAAAATTGAATTAGTCATTTTCTTTTTTATTTTTGAAATTATTATAATGTAACTTGATTACTTGTGAGTACAACATTTTAGGACGAGCAATGTCACTAATGTTAAAACACCAGTTTATATGATATTAAGTTCCTATTTAACATTAATTAAAATACGTAGCTACTATAGGATTGTAGAAAGTTTGTTCTTAGCGATTCAAGGAGTGAAATATTTTTTTCTGCAAATCATCCCTAGGCTCTCAAATGCATCCAAACAATCGTTATTCTACTGAAACATAGAAAGCATATGTTTGAGTCAAAAATAAATTCTGAAATAGTGATTTTTTGAAGAATTTATATTTAAAAGTATATAAAAAGTTTTACATTTATATGCAAAATATTTTATTTTATGAATATGATTGAAAATGAATTTGAAAAGATAAAAAAAAAAAAAAAAAAAAAAAAAAAAAAAAAAAAGAGTGAATTTTGATTTAATGAACGTCAAAAGGGGCTACGTGACATTAAAACGAGAGATTCTTTTCAGGACCAATGATGCCTTGGGAAGTACAAATGAGTCAAATAAAGCAAAAATGATTCTACTTTCGGCCAAAATATAGAAAGTGATAACAAGATTTATTTATCTTTTTCATTTCTAAAGTTGAGTAGTATTAATTTATTTCTTATTTCAAGTTATATTTGTTAGGAAAAATTATAGTAGGGTTTCTAATCTTTTACTTTTTTACAAATTTTATCATAATCTTCACTTTGCACTACTCATAGTCCCGAACCTTTTAAAAATATACACTTGGAGTCCAAATGGATGGAAGCCGTCTATTTGACTGTTAATTGACTAATAAAATTGAAGAGCGTAAAAATGCAAATATGTTATTTAACCATATAATAAAACAATTAAAATAAAAAACTATTCATCTCCTTCGCCACCCCACCGCAATTCTCCATTGCCCTAACTTTGTACGGCTCTGGCTGTGCCTCTCTTCCCCTCCAAGATTTCATATCCCTACTCAAAACGAGGATAAATTAGTATATGGAATTCAAGAGCGTGGATGCTAGCTTCATGAGTGATGCGAAGGGAAAGTTGGGAACGATGACTGACTCACGAAGTGCCATATTTAAGGATTGGAGTTTGTCATTCACTAAGAAGAATCGGTTACTGAGGTTTTTCAAGCTAGTACAGGGGCATTTCCCCGAGTGAGAGCGAGAGTGAAGGGAGTGATCCAATTTTAGAGGAGGATATAGAGAGTCCGTTTGTGGAGTTTTTGACCAAATTGGGACTTTCACAAAAGCTAAAATCGTACAAATCAAAGTGCAGCTTCAAAATTCAATTTTATTGGTCAACTAATGGTCAAGTGGACGGTTTCCATCTATTTGGATCCCAGGTGCATGTTTTTGAAAGGTTTGAGCTATGAGTGACACAAAGTGAAGGTCCTAGTAAAGTCTGCAAAAAAATGAAAGATTAGGCACCGATGCTGCAATTTTTCATATTTGGTATGGGTTACTATCCTAAAATAACATATAAATATAGACGAAGATAAAAAATACAACCATTTCGAAAGTGTTGAATAAAAAAAAAAAAAAAAAGTCGACAATCGTAATTGATTATAGTTTTATATATAATAATTTTGAGGATGACAGTTTTTTAAGATTAATGATATTTAGTCAACATGCATCATCCTCAGTAATAACAGATCTTCGCTTCATTGTTCAATACATTAAAGTACATTCTAATTTTATTAGACAACAAATTAGTAAAATCGTTGTCATTTAGTGGTGGGCTATCCACATCAATTATTCTCAAAAGACATATAAACATATGGACCTATAAACTTTATTGGTAAATTTCATCTGCAGTCATTGAGCTTTCAACAAATTCTCACTTAAGTTCCTAAACTAACTGGGTGGTTAAACTTATTTCGAGCCTGTTTGGGAGTGATTTTGAGAATTGATTTTTTGACCGTTAGGAAAAAANTGGGGTCCACCTGTGAGAGAAGAAGTCAAATATGACTGCTGAAATAGTGAAATAACGGTCAAAAAATCAATTTTTTGGAAGGAAAAATCGCTCCCAAACAGGCCCTCATTTATATAGTGAAGTCAATAGTTCAATTTTTCAATGAAGTTTGTATTATAACATGGATGTATTAATATAGTTGGTTGAAATCTAAATGCTGTAAGTAGATAGGTACCTACTATCCTTTTTATTAAAGGCTAGTAGATATATTATAAGTAGTTAATTTGCACTTAATAGAGCATGAACATGTTTAGTTAAGCTTAAAACAAACCTCTTTAAAAGCATGAACTCACCAATAATTGCAAAGCACAATGGTTAAGTGGGATTCTTTATGTGATACAAGATCCATTTGAGAAAAACGCGTATTAGAAGGGTAAAGTGTAATAATGTAACAAAAACCGTCCTAATATTTATCATGACTCTTTATTATTATTGCCCTTGTTTGAGCTCCATTTCGGGGGAGATAATGAATTTTAGAATAATGTATTGATGATAAATATGTGATTAAAAAATAAGAAATTTTTTTGGATTTACGTGTAATATTATTTTATTGAATAATGTGTGGTTAAAATGATGTTGAAATACCGTTGAAAAATACATTCTTTCAAAATAATGAGACTCAAACAAGGGCATTATGTATTTCATCTGCTGCACAGTGTCATCTTAAAGGTTGAATTCCAACCTTAAGGGCCCCCATTACCCCACTTCTAGAGCATCATGAGAAAGGTAAATCGAGGGATATGCTCCAACATGCCAGATAAAAAGAGATTGCCCGTACACTAGTACTCATAAAGAGTCCAATTCCATATCTCAGAAATCGAATTCTCACACTGCGGCTGCCAGTAAAGCTAAGACTACCTCATTCATATTTTTTGCACCACTGAATTATGACCCAAGAGGCGCACAATGTCATCTTTATTCTACATAAGTAAGAGCATATCTAAAAATCTCTTTAAAAGTAAAATATTCCCTATTTCAAAGAGTCAATCCTTAAAATTCTGCTCCAATATACTCTTCAAATTAACATAGCAACTCTTTTATAATTAAATGCATTCAAAATGTTTCAATTTTCAATGATATATGTATTGACATAATTAAATAGAAAAATAGTGAAAATAAAAGATGTGAAAAATAATTACATATTGAGAATAGTAAAATTAAGTGTTTAAATAAAGAGACTGTTGAGATGTTTAAAATATTTTAGTCTTTATATTTATAGATATTATCTAAATTTTAAAATATACTCTTAAAAAATAAATAGTCTTTTAGAGATACTTTAGCATGAATTTTTAAATCATTATTTATTGAATTCACACATGGTTATGTATTCATTCGAAGTGTCTGCTCAAATTAAAATAACAACACGTAGCATTCGATTCATCGCTAATGATTCGTCGAAGTCCTTCACGCAAGAAAGAATTTTGAGGAAAATGAAATTTTAATTTGCTTTCTCATGCTCATTATTAGAAGAAATATAAATGAAAGTTGTGAAATAAAAGTTAAAAAAAGGGCTAAGTGGGGCCATAAACAGTAACATTTCTTCTAAAAAATGATAATATTTTAGTGGCATTAGTGTGAAAAACCGAAAATTCAGGCCGTTTAATTAGTGTCCTCCTGTTTATAAACCCGGTAGCAGTCGAGCCTCTTTGCCATATTTTCTGACAGTCTCATAGACTGTCCCCTTTTGATCTCGAATTGCTCAATCCTTTAAATTTTCACTTCAATGGAGTCGAGTTCGGCTATTTGGATCTTTGTAATTGTATCTGCCCTTTTTCTTCAGTCATGTTTTGCAAAGAAAACTTACATTGTACAAATGAAACATCATCAAAAGCCCAGTTCCTATTCCACTAACAGTGAGTGGTATGCTGACAGCCTCCAATCATTCACTTCCGCTACCTCGGATTCAGTTCTCTACACCTATGACACAGCGTACCATGGTTTCGCCGTGGCGCTGGACGAGGCAGAGGCCGATTCGCTTCGAGAATCTGATGCTGTTCTTGGAGTCTATGAGGATACCGTTTACACTCTACATATCACTCGGACTCCAGAGTTTTTAGGCCTGGACGATGAACGTGGGACGTGGGCTGGCCACACCTTGCAGGAACTGAATCAAGCTGCACAGGATGTCATAATTGGTGTACTGGATACCGGCGTTTGGCCCGAATCCAAGTCGTTTGATGATACCAACATGCCTGCTGTGCCGTCCAGATGGAGAGGGAAGTGCGATGTGGCTGATGATTTTGATCCCAAAATCCACTGCAACAAGAAACTGATAGGTGCTCGATTCTTTTCCAGAGGATACAACATGGCTTCTGGGGGCAAAGAAGCGCAATCTCCTCGAGATGAGGAAGGTCATGGAACCCACACGGCAAGTACCGCAGCTGGATCTCAGGTGGCAAATGCCAGCCTTCTGGGATATGCAAGTGGAAACGCCCGAGGAATGGCCCCCCACGCTCGGGTGGCCACTTATAAAGTCTGTTGGAAAACGGGTTGTTTTGGTTCAGACATATTGGCTGGAATGGAGCAAGCAATTCTTGATGGAGTAGACGTGTTGTCTCTCTCTCTAGGGGGAGGATCTGTGCCTTATTATCGTGATACCATTGCTATTGGAGCATTTGCCGCAATGGAGAAAGGTATTCTTGTTTCTTGTTCTGCTGGAAATAGTGGTCCTGCTAAATCTACACTTGCAAATGTGGCTCCATGGCTAATGACTGTTGGAGCCGGTACTCTCGACCGGGACTTCCCGGCTTATGCTACATTAGGCAACGGACAGAAGTTCACTGGTGTATCATTGTATAGTGGTAGAGGAATGGGAAAAACAATGGTGGAAATGTTCTACAGTAAAGGTAGCAATAATTCTAGTAATTTGTGTTTAGAAGGGTCCCTTGATCCGGCCATTGTGCGTGGGAAAGTTGTCGTATGCGATAGAGGGATCAATGCAAGGGTTGAAAAGGGTACGGTAGTGAGAGATGCCGGTGGCGTTGGTATGATCCTAGCTAACACGGCCGCGAGCGGGGAGGAGCTGGTGGCAGACAGTCACTTGTTACCGGCGATGGAAGTGGGGAGAAAGGTGGGGGATATAATTAGGGAATACGTTAAAACGGATAAGAAACCCATGGCGATTATTAGCTTTGGTGGGACGACGTTGAATGTGAAGCCATCGCCGGTGGTGGCTGCCTTCAGCTCTAGAGGGCCGAACACGGTGACTCCCCAGATATTGAAACCGGATGTAATTGGACCGGGGGTCAATATCTTGGCTGCTTGGTCCGAGTCCGTTGGCCCGACCGGGCTTGAGCAGGACACTCGTAAGACCTCCTTCAACATCATGTCTGGTATGTATGTCACCCTTTTATTTTTCTCTATTAAAGAAATTTTTATTATGAAAAATCGACCAAAATATATATTGAATAAGATTTTAATTTTATCTTAGGAGCATAATAAATGTGGCTTATATTCAGTATTCTAATCATAGACTATCATGTGAATGTGATTTAGCCCTTAATTAATGGGTCGAGTTAGTAGTGTTTGTGCTGGCAAATTGAAACTAGCACATGATTTCATATTCTTCTCATTATTATTATAATTTTTTTGCAATCCGGTGGTTGAATATCTGCACCGAATTCTGATGGATAAGAATCATTATAAGAAATGTATTTTTTATTTATAAGTCGATGTCTAATGATTGAAATAGGAATCAAATTGATGATTATTTATGGAAAGATTGCTGATAAGAAACCCTTTTTAACTGCTTTATGAGACATGGAATGATTGTGAAAGATTATATTGGAAGTTCGAAATCTGATCTGAACATGAAATAAGTCTATTATGTTGATGAATTGAAATAAAAAAAAATAAAATTAGTGGGCTGGACCTGCTAGTAAAAAAGAATCGTAATCATAGAGCAGAATGAGCTGGAAAGAAGAGACTACTAACAGAAAATAGTGAATTTTAAGGCTATGTTTGTTTGTCATATTCTTCAGGTACATCCATGTCTTGCCCACACATCAGCGGATTGGCAGCTCTGCTGAAAGCAGCACATCCCGATTGGAGCTCGAGCATGATCAAGTCTGCGCTAATGACCACGGCCTACACGCACGACAACACAAATTCTCCTCTACGCGATGCTGCAGACAATTCGTATTCCAATGCGTGGGCTCATGGAGCCGGTCATGTTGACCCGCAGAAGGCCCTGTCCCCCGGCCTAGTGTATGAGATCACCCCGCAAGGGTACATTGGCTTCCTTTGCTCTTTGGGCTATGCAACTGAGCATATCCAAACCATAGTTAAACGTCCGAACATCACTTGTAGTAGGAAATCCTCTGATCCGGGCCAGCTCAACTATCCGTCATTCTCGGTCCTTTTTGGCAAATCTAGGGTTGTTCGGTACTCCCGGGAGTTGACAAATGTTGGAGCCGCTGGATCTATCTACCAAGTGGCGGTCCAAGTTCCCGCTTCAGTGACCGCAACTGTGGAGCCAGCAAGGCTAGTTTTTGGAAACGTGGGCGATAAGCAACGATATACAGTTACGTTCGTGTCGAAGAAGGGCTTAAATCAGTTCGTTGACAGGAATGCTGCATTTGGTTCCATTTCTTGGAACAATGCCCAACATCAAGTGAAAAGTCCAGTTTCCTTCTCTTGGACACGCACGTTATGATTTGAAGCTAGGAGTTATTTCTTGAAATAGAGCAAGGGACGAACCGATGCTATCTCAGCAGGCAACGGCTACCTACGAGCTTGGGAAACTGTTTTCCAATATAATTTGATTTTTCTGAAAAACTGAGGAATTAGTTCCTCAAAGCTTTGATTTCCTTTGTAGTGGAAGTGGAATTGGGAATATGTTCCTGGTACCCCAGTTTGTTTAATGTAATGGACATTAGACTATTGAGCCCATAAAAATAATTCATTGGGCCCCTAATGCTGACTTGAAAATCCCAATGAAGTTCAATTCAAGCAATGGGTCTTATATAAATATCCTTAATTTTGAGGTGCTTTTGAAAAATCATGAGAAATATGGACTGAAACATAAATACTCTATTTTCAATTTATTAAAAGTNATCCTTAATTTTGAGGTGCTTTTGAAAAATCATGAGAAATATGGACTGAAACATAAATACTCTATTTTCAATTTATTAAAAGTATAAATATTACGTTCCAACATAAGAGGAAGTGTTCTAAACCTGAAGCTAAAAAATCTAATCCTCCAAGCTCCAACTTCAACAAAATCGAAGTAATAAGAAATTTTCTTTGTACGAATCAATGCAGGCTTGTGTCTGTGAAAATTCAAAATATGAATATGAATTCAAACTTTGCTTTACATAAAAAAAGTAACACGATGTGATACTTCATAGGTTTGCATATAAATAAATGTGGTGGTACTTAAAAGTAACATATTCTCCATACTATTTCGTTCGTACTCTTCTTACAAATATAGATAAAATTAACATTTTCACCTATTATATAAGCAAATGATAACATATAACGAATATTAGGGCTGCATATGATCTGGTTTGATTCTTCCTGAATTTTCGGATATTTAATAAGTGAAATTGTCGGGTCCAAATTTATTTATGTAATCGAATGGGCTCGGATCCATTCAGTTCGGCTGAGGTTGGTTATCGGGTTCGGTACAATAATTAAAATTTTTAATATTTACAACAACGTTATGTTAATTCAATTAATGAGATGTTCGATATTAATTCTTACAAAATATTGTAGTCCAATCATGTGACATCTTTTACATCTTTCTTTGTTAAGCTTTTTTGTAGATTTGTCTTTTAAAATCATATTCCAATAGCGTGAGCTCATAATAATGAAAAGAGACACAAATGAGCTCGAGCTTTCAATTTGATTTATCCAAAGCCACACAAACAACACTACAGTAAAATGAGAGATATGGGTGTAAAACTTAAGTCAATTTGATTAAGTTGGACTAGGCTAAAAATTAAAAAATAGGGAAATTATATTTTGGATTTTGGCTAAATAAATTAATTATCAAATTTATTTTAAAAAAATAATTTGAATTATTTAATATAAAAAATTGAAAAAATAAGGAGATTCGATTCTTTGATACTGTGTAGAATCGAGAATCGAATGAAGCTATTGGTTTTCGATTCAAATACTCATTCGGGGTATTTAAATTAAGAAAAATCATTCTATTCGATTCAATTCGATTGAGGAGCTTTCTCCAGCCCCAACGAATATAAAAAGTTATTGAAATTGTTGTCCCAATAAAATGAACATGCCACAATCTAATGTAAATGTCAATTTTTCGTTAAAAAGTAACATATCGTGTCACATTTTTTAAGAAACTAAATTCCAATATTGTTAAAAATAAAGTAAGTTATCATTATTTTCATTGATACGCAATTGTATTAATAAAATTAATACATCCTTATATTTACACATACAATATTCATATGGTATGATTAACTATCAATTTTGTAAAAAGAGAAAATAAAGACTATTAAATGATAAATGATAGAAATTCAAATATTTTATAAGGATAATTGTAGCAGAAGTTCCAAACTTTTGAAACACTAGCAGACTTTCCCCAAACTTTTGATTTGTAGTAACTGTCATCTCCAACATTTCCAAACGTTACAAGGAAAGCCCTTTTTGAATAGTTTCCATCCACAATTCTGTCAATTGACCAAAAATTTAATTTTGACTACATTTTTAATATTTTAAAGGGGAAAAAGAGTAACTTTTCATTTATCACATTAAGAAATAAGAAATAAAAAAGCATACACACACCTCGTCTTCTTCCTTTCACCCCTCACCTGTCCCCTACTCAAACAAAAAATCCACCGGACCACCGCCGTCTCTATCTCCACCTCCACAACCACCATTTAAAGCCCATCATCATCCACCCAACAACCTCCACCATGGAAGAACAAAGTTACAAGAAGCATGTTGTAAGAAAGCTTGAAATTGGATATTAGAATCTACGTACTCAATGGAACCACCCTCTGCAAAGAGTGTTTCAATGTCCCCTAGTCAATTTCAGCACAAACAATGTGAAAACCCTAAATTTGAGTGAAGAAATTGATACTATGTGTATTTTGTTAGCTTGATGCCCATTCTTCAAGTAATGTTCTGTAAAATCACATTATGAATTGACGTTCGTTTATTTACGTGTTATAATTTGAAGTAATTATCTAAGGTTCAATGATCATATAAGATATCACAAATTGTATATTCGATGGATCAGGTATAGTAATACACAATTCGTGACGTGATCAAAATTATGTCGTTCACAATCGGTTCATAAATTTGGATGCTTTATGTTGATAAGATTGTATTGTTCTTATTAAGATTTGTCTAGATCTTGAAATAGCAACAATAATGTGTTTTGATGAACATTGAACGGGACCGCATAAATGACTCATTTGTGACCGTTCGAAATGAGACTCTACTAGATTATCAAACAGGTCACCTAAATCCTAAGTGAGTAATATACCTTTGATTGCTAGTTCAACTTCTTTGAGGTACCAATGAATGAAATCTTAAATAGAAGATTGATCTCGATACTTTGAGAATCGTGCCGAAACAATTAGAGATCATATACTTATAATAGTGGAATTCATTAATCACAGAGATGAGACGATCGTCACTCTAAGGTATTTTCCTAGGCAAATTGAATCTGAGCTCAGCAGGTCGACGATGAGATCTTGGACTTTACATTGTGATTTGATCACAACGAATCTGCCGTTTGAAAATGGGACTTAGAGGGTAATACATGTTGAAGGGCAAAACGATCATTTTGCCAGTTTCAACATATTGGCGATCAAATGGGGGTTGACTTTTGGAACGATAATAAGAGGATATTGTTATTGGATCATAATTTGCTTCTATAAGTATCACTCGACTCGAGAGTACAAACTCGATTTTTTGGTAGAATAAGTCGGGATTTATAGTTGTATCTCAATTAGTCAAGAGTTGACCCAATCGAAAATATCTATTGAAGTTTGGGTTATGTGAGTCCAGTTAGGTCTCTCTCTTGGCTCCAATAAAAAGTGTGTGACTTAATTGGTCTACTACAATAAAGTCAAAGGAATTTTGTGCAATTTTCAAACCATAATAGGACATTATAAATATGTACTTTATTGACATATTTTATATGTGAATTAGGGTTAACCACTTTTCATTTTCTTGAAAATGAAATACACCTAGTGGAGATCAAGGGAAAAGATCTAAGGGAGGAAGCAATTAGCTAGGCCATTAAAAGCTCCTTCAAAAGGTTATCATCTCCCTTTTCTATGTGTGAAGATTTTATAATCCAATGATCTCAAGGTCACTAAAATCCTTATTTATATGGTTTTAGTCTTCAAAGGAAAATTAATTTCGTATTGTGATGATTAAAATTCATTAATCAACATATCTGACCTCAGTACTATCCAACCAGTAAAACTAATCACAGTAAATGAAATCTCTGAAAAAAAATTCATAAATAGGTACAGAATAAAAGCAAATTAAAGCAAATAAAAGAGAAGGGAAAAATGTATAAAAACAAATAAAGACCACCTTAAATGCAAAGGTAAATATTCAAATTTTTAGCACAAGTCAGACCCTTTTTCTCAACAAATCAGACCTTTTTGGTTCGGTGGCAGAGGGTGTTGGGTGGCCATAGTTATGGGGTGGATGATGATGGGTGATAGTAGGTGGTTGTGGAGGTGGAGGAGGTCCGGTGGATTTTTGGTTTGAGTTGGGGTAGGTGAGGGGTGAGAGGAAGAAGACGGGGTGTGTGTGACTTTTTATTTCTTATTTTTTGATTTAATTATTATTTAATGTGATAAATGAAAAATTACTCCTTTACTCCTTTTAAAACATTAAAAATGTAGTCAAAATTAAATTTTTGGTTAACTGACGGAATTGTGTATGGAAACTGTTCAATTATAATTTAACTACTTTTATCATAATCACTGATTTCTATCACCTCTTTTCAACCCACAATCTTGCCAAATAGTCATGTTACTTGTACATTTTATTCAACATCATTGTTGACATTGTGCCATGTGTCGATATATGATTGGACGGTTTTTTAATTCAACACACTTTCCTGTCAAAGTATTTTCGAATTTGCACACAATATCATCCAAGTTGTCATCTATGAAATGTACAACAAGCTTTAAACATATTCCTTTCACAAATCTTAAATATGAACGTCAATTTTTCATAAATATAAGATTAATTTGGCCACAAATCTATCATCAACTCCATGATAAAAAAATCTCAATTTCGACGTCACAATTTTTTTTTTTTTTTTTATCATTATCATTCGGATTCGAAGTCCATATTTTGTGCATTGATTTACAAAATTGTTGTTCCAGAATCATAAAATTCATAATTAGCGTGGAATTTACAAAATACCAATGTTATTGGGCATCGACTCGAAAAAGGAAGAGGGTTGAGGTTTAAATGGTCTAACCGGGTTTGAACCGATATCGAACCGGATGACAAATAAAATAAATAAATACACAAATAAACAATAAAATATCATAACTATAATAGATTTTTAAATTTTAGTTTCTTCATTCAAAGTAAATATAATCCATGTTTGTTAATTAGATTTATTATTGTAATTTATTTTATAACCTCAAAAACTAACAATTAATATGTCCAAAATAATTTGCTTTGTTCAAATTGAAAATTATAATCTTGTTGGGGTTTATGATTTGTTAATAAAAATGATGAAGTAAACTAGTAAACACTTAAAATTGACAATTAGCTAGTATCTCACATTCGAAGACTACCACAAAATTAGAAAAAGAGTCTCCTTTAAAAAGGAGCTAGTATTCCACATTGAAAAACTACTAAATCATTGAAAGAATGTTCTTCCTTAAGAAGGAGGTATAGGAGAATTATTTGTATGAAAAAAGTTACTTGGGCCTTTAATTGCAATGGGTGGCCCATTAAGATAGTTAAAAGTTTTTGTGAAAAAAAGGGGAAAAACCGTGGCTGGTTTAACCAACCGGTTGGATTGACGATTTATTAGCTGGGTTTTTATTTTCTGTTAATGATTGAAAATCGGATTGGATTAAAGGCCGGTTCACGATTTTTCCAGTTGACCCAGCTGGTCTGATTTTTATAACATTGCAAAATACTGAATTTGATTCTAAAATTCATCAAGTTCAGTATGATTATGTCATAATAGTCAAATGTTGCTTCTTAGATGCAGATGATAGAAACAATTTTCTTCTAAAACGAATTTCGAGAATTGTGAATTTACATGGAGTTGTGTTTGAAAGGCACTTTGCTTATTTCATATCTTGCGTAATATAAAATTTATTAGGTTCATATTGTATTGGATTTATATGATGGAAAATATTAAAGAAATTATTTTACTACTATAATTATTGGTGTCCTGTTAAGATTTACAGTCACAAAATCAATTTTTATTTTCATACTAGTCTTTGCCCATGCATTTATTTTGAACGCAATGTTAGTGTATTATGAATGGAAATTTTATTGTCATACATAGGCATCCATATTGTTACAATTTCTGCTCATATATAGAAAGATGGAAAGTTCAAGAAAATGAAATATACGAGAGGTAGAATGACTAGTGTTCCCTCAATCAAGACCTTGCGAAATTCGCCTCACCACCACCTCCTCTATCATCCATTCCTCTATTATTTCAGAAGTCAATGGCCTTACAGAAATGACAAACCCTTCTTGAGGAAAACTTAATTAAAAGAAATACTATAAAGTAAAACCAGAAAAGAATTGCCATTGAAGTTGATGACGCATGTGCTGTTCAACCTAAAACAATACCCAAAAAAAAAATTAATAGATTCAACAGCTTGGGGTAGCAGGTAGTGATAGATCCTCAATTAGGATCACCTACACAAGAAGAAGAAAAAAGTGGTTAATACATTCAACCTAATTGAATAACAAATACATTTCTCAGTTTATATTCTTCAATTCTATAAAGTAATTACTGATACACAACAGATAAACAGTGATCCATTCGGCAACTACAGTCAAGTACCTATCAATCTCCTCTAGAGTTCGGGAGCTTGAAGAAACTGAAGCCATTTGAGTATACAAATTATGGAATCTAAAATCTATCGAGTTATTATTGAAAGTTTATTCCATAGATTGAAAGAATTGTGTGGTTAGGGTTTCCTGATGGTGGTGAGTAGAGGCCAATAGGAAAAGGGAATAATGTAGAAAAGAATGAAGAGAGGAGGACAATAAAGCTTTCAAATTTGATTTTGTAAAGCGAAAGCAGTGGAGGTGAAGAATGTAAAAGATTTAAAAAAAAAGAAAAAAAAGAAAAAAGGATCATTATCGTGCTCAATAAGTTTACCATATGATAGTATTTTAGATGGATACATAGAACACTGGGAAGACCATTGTACCTCCTTTTAATTATCGGCTTGCCACAATTACCCTTTACTTTATAGCTTCATCATCAATAGAAATTGAGGCTAGATATCATGTAATACCTCGAACTTCACGTTACACATTTGACCAATATGATTCATGTATTTCATGCTATTTATAATGCTATTTGCATCAATTTTTCCTAATTGCTTTATCTTAAAACAATGCATTCGATTATTGAGGTTCTAAGATTTTAGTCTTCGACTCCTCGACCTAGGTGGTGAATTTCACATTGATCTATGATAGAAAATTAGGTTAATCTCGATATTGGAGATTGATTTGGTAAGCAATGTGAATATTGAAAATGCCGGAATAAGTATTGACTTAGTTTCAAGTTTTCCATTCGGTTGATCAAGGTGACTTTAAATCATAGATAGGTGATTGTCACATCTAGAGCAGGAGACATGAAGTGACATGATCAAAATGTAATAAGAAAAGGTTTATATTATGTTATAAATATTAATGTGCAAATCGTTGAAATTGATTGAGAATCGGGTGTCAATCGGGTAAGTAACTAAATGAACGGACAAGGAATTAGCTCTATAATATATTTTGGGATCTTAGGGCAAGTACAATTGATTTTAAAGGCATCAAAATAAATCGAGAATACTTTTTTTGTACTTGTAAGGATTGGCGTAAAATTAGATTTTAACTACAAAGGACCATCTTATGCCTATTTATTTTTCCTTATTGGTCAATATGACAGTCATAACATCAAAATCGTATTTTAAACTAATCACAAGCAAGTAATGATTACCTTATCAAGTAATTATGGCGTGATGTCAGACCTACTCAGCCTATCTCAACAACCAATCAGGAAGCCAGGATTTTGGGTGGTGACACATACTTCTAGGCCAATATTGTAGCTTAAATAAAACTATGCGAACAAGTGGCATGGTCTTCTGGCCTACAAATATGGACAAATGGTCTCTTCCTAAGGCAGATCTAAGGTACTAACCAAAAACATTCTCCAAAAGCTAACTATATTCTAGCAACCATCCCATTAAATTTCCATTAAGTTGATCTAAATTCATCACATCACTTTTAGTCATTAACAATTTGGAGCTAGAAGAAGGGCTTCTTATGGAAAGCAACCCACATCACCCATAAAATTTCCATTAAAAATCGCATATAAATAAAATCATGAGCTACATCTCAGTATCTAGAAACCATTCCAACAGTAATCCTAATGAAACAAGTAATTAAAAAAACCTCTGAAGGAGAAACAAATCCATTGAGATTGATCACTCCCAACTTATTGACGTAAGAAGGCTATAGAATGCCTTACAAATGTTGTACAACAAACAGAACATAAATAGGCCACCACCATCCCAATGGTCGAGATTGAAGCGGAATGAACTATTAGGGAAAGACACGGGCAACTTCTCGTTCGAAAAAGTTTATACTTTACTGAGGAGGAATCCTCCAAAAGTAAAATAGATGAAGTAAAGAGACACCCTATCCAGGCATGATGGACACATAGAAAAAGTAGGAATTGTGTTAGATACGATAGGCACACAATGTTTACTAATACCAAGAAATGAATAATCTAGCCCTATCCAAAAAGAACCCAAAGAATGAGCACGCAATAATAATTATTTTGAAAGTTCAGGGACTAAGTGAAATAGTAATAATATTAATTTTCTTTGGGCCAAATAGGTGGATTTTAAAAGAGCGAGTTTTAGTATATTGAGATTGGGCGTAGTTTGTTATTAATGACACATCATGGATTCGAGAAAAATTAATTTGTATAAGTTCAAATTAAGATAAAATCAATAAAATAATTAAGACGTAAACATAATAGCAAGTAATTAATATCATTTTCTTTCATTAGAATTTTCGGCCATCTGGGATAATGTATTACTATACAATTTATCAATTATTACTAATTTATGTTGTGATTCTCCGATCACGAGAAGAGAATAAAAGAGGAAAAACAATTCTATTTCTACTTGAATAGAATTTACAACGGAGTTTACAAACTAAAAAAAAACCTCTCAAAAGAGTCTCTCTAATCTCTCTCTTTTTTTCTCTCTTCTCTATCCTATTTTTCTTCCTTTCAAGGGACATCCTAATTCTCTTTATGGTAGCTCATACTTATAGAAAAATCTTGGCTACAAATCATTATAAACTTGTGGCCAAAAACCAATCAAGAATTGCGGCTAGAGAATTTCATTTGAAATTATCTTCTTGCATAGATTTCTTTTCCATTAAGCAATTGAAGTTGTGGTCGTCAAAAGGTGGAGAATTTTAATTCAAATTTTCTTCTTCATCAATGCATGTGGATTCTTCTACATTAAGAAAATGAAATTCAACGATTTCGGCTGGAAGAAGCTAGAAGAAACTTGATTAATATGCGGCTGGAACACATCAATTCTCCCCCTCCAGTCGCATTTGAATCAATTGCTATCTGACAACCAACCCAACTATGTCTCTGCATAGCTCTAGCTTCTCCCTTAGAACCACCTTTGTTAACATATCTGCTGGATTCTCATTTGTGTGAATCTTTACTATTCTCAACAGCTATTGATCCATCACTTCTCTTATCCAATGATAGCGAATGTCAATGTGCTTTGTTCGAGAATGATACATTGAGTTCTTACTCAAGTCAAGAGCACTCTGGCTGTCACAATGTACTTTATAATCTTTATGCTTGATCCCTATTTCTTGGAGAAATCGCTTTAACCACAACATTTCTTTACCTGCTTCTGTCACTGCAATATATTTTGCTTCTGTTGTAGATAAAGTAACACACTTTTGTAGTCTTGACTGCCATGAAACAGCTCCCCTTGCAAAAGTGTAGAGAAATCCTGAAGTAGATTTTCTACCGTCAAGATCTCCCGCCATATCTGAATCTGTATAACCTTCCAAGATTGGATCAGCTCCCCCGTAGCACAGGCATATCTTTGATGTACCTTTGAGGTACTTAAGAATCCACTTGACTGCCTCCCAATGTTCCTTTCCAGGATTAGAAAGAAAATGACTCACCATACCTACTGCATGGGCAATATCTAGCCTTGTACATACCATGGCATACATTAGGCTTCCAACTGCTGAAGAATAAGGTATCAATGACATCTTCTTTATCTCTTTTGGATGAAGGGCATGAATTTTTGCTCAACTTGAAGTGGTTGGCCAATGGAATGTTGACAGGTTTGGCATTATGCATGTTGAATTTCTTGATTACTCGTTCAACATACTTCTCTTGGGATAGCCACAACCTTATATTCTTCCTATCTCGAGTTATGTGTATTCCCAAAATCTGTTGAGCTGGGCCTAAGTCCTTCATGTCGAAGAACTTGGAGAGTTCCTTCTTTAGCTGCCTGATTTTTGTTGCATCTTGTCCGACGATCAGCATGCCGTCTAATACATTAGAAGAGCAACAAAATTGCCATCCGAAAAGTGTTGAATATAAACACACTAATCCGCAGCTGTTCTTTTAAAGCCTTGACTCACCATGAAAGAGTCAAACTTTTTGTACCGCTGCCTGGGTGTTTGCTTAAGACCATATAAGCTCTTCTTTAGCTTGCAAATGAAGTTTTCTTTCCCTGAAACTTCAAAACCTTCTGGCTGCTCCATATAAATTTCTTCATATAAATCACCATGAAAAAATGCTGTTTTGACATCCATCTGTTCAAGCTCTAAATTCAGACTGGCTACTAATCCAAGGATAACTCGAATTGAGGCCATTTTTACAATAGGTGAAAAAATCTAGTCAAAGTCAACTCCCTTCTTCTGAAGAAATCTTTTGACTACCAAACGGGCTTTATGTTTTACCACCTTTCTGTTGCCATCTTTCTTGAGTTTGAAAACCCATTTATTCCTTAATGTCTTCTTTCCCTTCGGAAGCTCAACTAACTCATATGTTTGATTTTTCTGCAGTGACTCCATCTCATCCTGCATTGCTTGTATTCACTTGTCTTTGTCCACATGAGTTTGTGCTTCCTGAAAGCTCTCTACTTCTCCTTCGTCAGTGAGCAAAAGTTACTCTGATTCTGGATATCTCGTTGATGGAATCCGTCCTCGTTCAAATCTTCTTACCTGTGGATTGTTGATTTCAAGAGGTGCATCATCATCTGGTTGATGTGATGGTCTAACAACTTCTGGTGAAGAGGATTGTGACTCCCCCTGATCAATATCCCCTTCTTCATCCTCCTGTTTTGCTTCCAGCATTTCCTCATGCACATCGTCATTATCTATGGTGAATTGTGTTGGTGCTGGATCTAGAGCAATATTTTGGGCACCAAAATTAGAATTAGGAGTTATTGTGGGCTTTTCAATGTCTTCTAATGTTTGGTTTTCATGGAACACTACGTCCCTGCTTCTGATGACCTTCTTTGTCTTTGGGTCCCATAATCTGTATCTAAATTCCTTATCTCCATAGCCTATAAAGAGCATGGAGTGGTCCTTGCATCTAGCTTTTGTCTTAGCTCCTTGGATACATGTGCAAAGGC